ATGTTAGCTCCGCATTGAGCTTCTCCATGCTTGCAGAGACACTCGCATGCTCTTCATTAGCCTTCTGTAAATCTGCGGCTAGTTTCTGGCACCTTTCTTCGAAATCCTTGGCCGTGACTTCCAGCTCTTGAATTTTACGGTCGTAATCAGCTGTTTTCTTCGCCTCATTCTCAACACTCCTTTGATGCTCTTCATGCAGGTCACATTTTTCCTGTTTGAGCTGCCCGATCTCTTCCATGGCTTCCTGGAGTCGAGCATTACTAGCAGAAAGGTCGTCCTCCAGCTCCCGCTGTCGCTTCTCCAGCTCCAGTTGACTAGCTTGCAAAGCTACCTTAGTATTCTCCAAGTCCGACTCTGCCATCTTCTTCTCCGCCTGAAGCTGTTCGTGCTCCTTTTGCAAGCCCGCCAGCTCTGCATCGAGCTTTTGCACGTTTGCAGAGACACTCGCATGCTCTTCAGTAACCTTCTGAAACTCTGCTGTTAGCTTCTGGCAATTTTCCTCAGACTCCTTGACAGTCGCTTCCAGCTCTTGAAGTTTACGTTCGTAATCAACGGTTTGCTTCGCCTCCTTCTCAATACTCCTCTGATGCTCCTCATGCAGATCGCTCTTGTCTTGTTTGAGCTTGCCGATCTCTTCCACAAGTTCCTGGAGACGAGCATTGCTAGCAGAAAGTTCGTCCTGTAGCTGCCGCTCTCGTCTCTCCAGCTCCAGTTGGCTAGTTTGCAAGTCCACCTTAGTTTTTTCCAAGTCCGAATCTGCTTGCTTCTTCCCCGCCTGAAGCTGTTCGTGCTCCTTTTGCAGGCAGGTCAGCTCCGCAATCACCTTTTTTAGATTTCCAGAGACATCCCCGTGCTCTTCGGTAACCTTCTGGAGCTCTGCAGATAGTTGTCGCTGCTTCTTCTCGGACTCACTGACCAAAACTTCCAGCTCTTGGATTCTGCGTTCGTACTCTGCTGCTTTCTTTGTCTCATTCTCGACAGTCCTCTGATACTCTTCTTGGAGGTCACTCTTCTCCTGTTTGATTTTGTCAGTCTCTTCGACAAGTTCTTGGATACGGGCATTGCTCGTAGACATTTCGTCCTGCAGCTGTAGCTCCCGTTTTTTTAGCTCTTGGTGGCTGGTTTGCAGGTCCGTCACATGCCTCTCGATAACGTCGTGAGTAAGTTCTCGTGACTGATCAGCTGTTTTCTCCTTTTCCAGCCCGAAAAACGCTAGCAGATTGAACATCTCTTTCGATCTGGTCTCCTTGAGCATATCAAACTCTTTCGTCACCGAGTTCAGATTTTCTGTTTGTTTCTCGAAGTCAGATACCAGTTTTGTGTGCAGTCCGGTACTCTTTTGGTATTCTTTATCGAGGGAGCTCTTTTCTTGCTTCAGCTTCTCAATCTCCTCCTCGAGCTGTTGAATGCGAGTCTTTCCATCAAGAATTTCGTTCTGTAAGCATGTTCCATGCTCCTCGAGCTCCTGAAGACGGGTCGTCTTTGCAGATAGCTCGCTTTGCAGCTGTAGCTCCCTCTCTTTCAAGTCTGCATGGCTTGTTTGGAACGTTGCCAGGTGTTTTTCAACATCGTCGTAGGAGCCTTCCCCGTTTTCCACACCAAGTGACGAAAGCAGCCTGAGAATCTCTCTGGATCGCATCTCTTTGAGTTTCTCCAGCTCTTCGTTCACCGAGTTCAGGCTCTTCGTTTGCTGCTCACAGTCAGAAGTGAGTTTATCCTGCATCGTCGTGCTTTTCTTCAACTCTTCATCAAGAAGTTCCTTTTCTCCCTTCAGCGTGGCGATTTCTTCTTCGAGTTGCTGAATTCGGATGTTTCCTTCTATAATGTCGCTCTTCAAGGACACTTCTCGTGCCTTCAGCTCCGAGTACTTCGACTGCAGTTCGATCGCTTTCTTCGCCACCTCGTCATGGCTTACATCCCGTTCTTCAGGCTGATCGTCGTCATCTCCAAAGAGAAACTTATACAAGCTGAAAGTTTCTCGAGACCTGGTGTGCTTTAAACTTTCCATCTCGAGCTCCCTCGTCTTGTGCAGCTGGGAATTCTCATCCAGCAACGCCTGGGCTTCATCCTTGAGTCTTTTCACCTCCTCCAGTTCACTGGTAACTTTGCCCATCCTTTCCTGGAGCTCTTCTTTTTCTTGCGACCAGATCACACGAAGCCTCTCAGACTCGTTTTTGGATGTCACCAACTCGGACTTCGCCTGCTCGTTGTCCGTGTTAAGTTGCCGAAGCTGTCCATTCATTTCTTCCTTCTCAGACTGGAGCTTCTGCGCATGTGCTTCTAATGCCTCCCTGGCCTTCTCAGAAACGACAAGCTTTTGTTCTAACGTCGAGATTTGTTCCTTGCATGCTTCGAGATCCTTAACTATCTTTTCAACTTCACCCTCCTTGTCGGATATTGTGGCTTTCAGGGACGTGATTACTTCTTCCCGTTTTTGAAGCTCCAGTGAAAGCTCGCGCAGCTTTTCCATGCTACTCTGGAGCTCTGCTGCTACCTTCTCCTTCTCTTCCTTTGTATTTGCAATCTCTGTCTCCAGCCTCCGACAAAGCTCGGTTGCTGCTGAAACTTCGGCCTGGAGTTTCTCGTGCTTGCCTTGCAAATCCTGATGCTTTTCTGTCAGTGTCTTCATGCTTGCACCGAGAACAAAAGCTTCATCAATTCCTCTTTGGTGAGTCGAGCTGAGTTCAGCATGCTGCCCTTGTACAGCAGCAAGCTCGGACTTCAAACGCTGAACCTCGGAATCCAGTGACATCGATTTCTGTCCTTCCTCCTCAAACTGGCTCACGAGACTTGCTTTCTCTGTTCGCAAAGCCGACAGCTCCGCTTCCAAGTTGGTGGAGTAATCTGTCTTGCTCGACAGCTGTTCCTCTGAACTTCTGTTAAGTTCCCGGAGGTTCTCTATCTCGGTTCCATGGAATGCTACTTTTGCCTCCAGTTCTGATTTCTCTTGCTCGAGGCGACCGATCTGATCTTCTTTCTCCTGCATCGTGACCTTGAGTCCATCGAGGTTTTCTTGCAGTATCCTGTGCTGTTCAGTAGCCGATGCAAGGCTTTCTTCCAGCTGCTTGAGTGCTGCCTTCGCTTCGGAATCGCTGGACTCTTTCATGGCTTGGAGATCCAAAATGTTCTTCTCTGCCAGCTTTTTGGCTTCTGTTACTTCTGAGAGTTCCGTCTGAAGGTTCGAGTGAGTGGCTTGCAGAGTTGCAAGCGTCTCCGTAAGAACCTTGACACGCTCTCCTACAGAGAGAGCCTCCTCCCCATGTTTCTGGCACTCGGATTTCAGCTCGTTGATTTTCGCTTGCGCTTCGCTCAACTCTTGTTGCTTCTGACTCTGAAGATCGGACATCTCGCGCTCCAACGAACTTAAGTGTTCAGCATGAATGGCAAGCTGGCTCTGAGACTTAGTTTTTGCTGCATCGAGGCGGGAAATGCCTTCTTCGAGTTTCTGAACCCACAGCCAAATATCCGTCTCCGAATCCAGTCCATGATCTTCAAGCCTTCGGACGAGGTCGAACACCTTCGAGTGCAGCTTTTTAACAGCTTCTTCTTGCTCTTTGGCTTGCAACTCGCTAGCTGAAATAATACTTCTGAGGTTCCTGATTTCTTCTTGCAAGGAGATGACTTCTTCTTTCAGGCTGCCAACCTCAGCTGCATGTGCTTCAACTTTGGCTTGAAGCTCCGACTTATCTTTCTCGAGAGCACCAATCTGTTCTTGAAGTTCTCTGACGCGCTCGGCACCAGAAGTTATCTCGCTTTTGAGTGTCTGAATATCGTTCTCTTTTTCAGTGAGCATGTTTTGATGTTCAGCCGACAGACTCACATGCAGCTCCCTGAGTTCCCTGTTTTCGTTCGAGTGTGTGTTGAGTTGATCTTCCAGCGTCAAATGCCTGTCGTGAAGTTCCGTCTTTTCCCTCGTAAGCTTGGATACTACCTCTTCGGCAGCTTGCAGCTCACTCGTCTTCTGAGAAACTTCTGCAGCCAGACTTTCACGTTCTTGCTCGAGTTTCTGAACTCCCGCCTTAAGAGTCTTTTGTATCTCGCTACTCCTCTGACTGTCCACCTGCAGTCGTGAGCACTCTTGCTGTAGCTCCTTGATCATCTCGTGCAAAGATAAATTCTTTGCTGCTGCACCGTCATCCTTGGCCGAGTGATCCATCTCCATCTCTCCCAGAAACACGCTGATCTCCTCGTTTGCTTTGCGTAGTTGATCAATCAAGCCTTTGTTCTCGGTCGACAGTTTGGTCATCTCGTCTTTTAAAGAGGTCCGCTCCGTTTGCAAAGAGGTGACTTCCT